TCGGATATTAGAAAAAAAACAGAGCTTCCAAAATAATCGTAAAATTTCTTGTGACTTTCTTGGTTTTCTTCGGAGATTCACTTTTTTCTGCTGCTGCTGAAGAGAGCTGACATCGACAACTGGGGCTTGTACATACTTGTATGATAAAATTAGCTTGAAATACCTGTATATAAAGAGTTTATATGTAGGTATTTCAAGCTAATTTTATCATTTAAGTTTATACAAGCCCCTGTGCATCGACTATCAACTGCTCGCATTTTACGCCTAAGAAAAGATATTTTCAGACCGCAAGATGCATATCGGACCCACGTTCGCAATAGTCGCCATGACGCTTTTCGAAAAAAACAACCCCATTTTGTTTATTTGCACTTAGTTCTTCATTAAATAACATATTGAAAAGAAATCAATAGTTAATACAGCTTATATAGAACACTTAATACCACAACATGAATAGTATGTTATACACTCTTTAATGTACCGGAATTATTTGCAATATTAAGTTTGAAAATACGCCATTTCATAAAACAGAAAATGGAGAAAGCGCGAACGCCATAGCGACTTTCGTTTCAGAGAAAGCACGATATTTCTTGAAATCTCACCGTTGCCCTACAGCGATGACCCCGTTTCGGTGTCCCAGACCTGTGACATCACAAGTTCAACTCGGTCAGCTCAACCCTATTATCAAAGAGGAGCGATATGTACCGTGATATAGGCGGCATGTCATGTGATTAACATAGTCTTCATCTTCTTTTTATTGTGATTATAGATGTTTAAAAACGACAAGTTTACACACCCATAGACGTTGATTTTAATGCTAAAGTGTTGTGGAAGGAGCTCGTATCGAGGAGGAACAAAACACGTGTTGTGTATGGATGTCGGAACACGCAAGCAGATAGTGTATTATTTCCACGCATTTCCCTTGCACTTGGCAGTGTTTAGAAACAATGCGTACAGTTTGTTGAGAGTGGGAAAACCCTACGAAATGTTCCTATAGTGTTCAAAACACTATTTGAGGGCAGCTCATATTCTATAAAAAAGAATCAAGTCGTTCTGGCCTCTACCGGCCCAACATCCTACTCGTTCACCCCGGCCCCTAAACAAATGTGATGGCTGTTTTCTTCAGCGACATATAAAGATCTTTATATACTGTTGATGTAATGCAAATGAACTACGCCTTTCATTTTATCAAGGACCTTTATGTAATATTAGCTGCGAGCCATGAAATACCACGGACTTGTTTATATCTAATATATGTTCTTGGAAGTACGAAAAGTATTTTTTTTCAGCAAACGCCTTTGGATTTTTTTTTTATTGATATACGATTAATTTAACAGATAAACCCAAACCCGTATAAGGCAAACCGTGACTGACACGCGTATTCAAAACGCTTATCTGTTGTAAATATAATGTAAAGTATACACGGCGTTCTATATGAATTTAAGCTACAGTTGTAAAACTTTTTATTACTTTTCTTTTGATCATCTTCACTATAATCCAACTCCTCAAAATTCGTTTTCAATTCGCAATCTTACCCCGTACAGCTATCACTATCTACCATACTGGCTGCCGGTGGTTGAACTTGTGACGTCACAGCCGGAAAAGCAAGAAGATGCAAGTGCGGACTTCGGGGATCGATATTTCGGTACAGGATGTTTTTGCATTATATACTTGATTTGGTAGTTAAAATACAATGTAATTACATAGATGCAACTTCTTATAGCAGATTTTTCATAAGGGTCAATATTTTCAGATAGATTATAAAGGATTAATCAACTAATAAATTCATTTATTTTACAACTAACTGGTGGTTTAAGTACATGTACAATCCTGTTTTTGTGAAGATTTTGTATGAATATTTCCAAACATTCGAATATTATTTACAGATATCTTTTTTATATATTTAATTTATCAAAATAAATCATAAGTCTTCACAATAGCATGCTATTCAGTTTCCAAAAGCTACATTCACAGTACCAAGTGATATTGAAAAACTTTTTCATAGACAGAGACAGCACATTTGATGTTTGTAATATAATTATAAACGTAAAATTGAAATATCTGAATCACCTTTATTGTTTGTTGCACTTTCTTTTGTTACTTTGTTCTTTATACTAGAAGTCTTAACCGAGCTAAGATTAACTAAGGATGCCATCAAGTTTGTAAAATGTTGTTCTATTGTTTGTAAATTTCATTTGAAATCTCCCACTTCAATATTTTATGATAATGACTTGTATGTTCAGACTAAGCTGGGTGGTGCCCTTAAAGCTTAAAGATGATGTACATTGACAACGTAATATGTTTAGCCATTTAGTACTTTCAGTATTTTGATTTCCTGTGTGTTTTTCATTACCCATTTTTTAATTAGTTCGCTACATGTGTCTGTGTCGCCGCCCACCCCGGGTCCCAACCAGGGGATACTAATATCAGTGCGGACATCCAACGCCAAAGTGTCAGGGATACACAAAGTAGTATACTCGTAAGAGTATACATAACGAGGATACATATAACCTGTAAGAGCATACTCTCGCAATTGACCCTAAGCCACCACCTTCTTGGAAATGTGGATACAAAGGGCTCGGCGTGACCAACCGATTGGTGAAAAGGTCCCCATATCACCTCTCGTCTACCCAGAGTCCGAAGCCAAAGTAGTATGTTGCAGAATGTCGGATCATGTCTCCCTCCTATCCAGAGTTCGTCAGTGATTCCGACCTCTGCTCAACTACCAGGATCTTCTTCCCCCAAGAATACTAGATGCAACCCACGGCAAACAGGTTTGCTCAAATTGAAGCTACTGTGAAAGCCTACTGCTACGGTGATACCCAGTGTGCCACAATCACACCCCCGAAGCGACCATTCACGCACGGAGGGCCAAAGTAGCCAGCCTCTGGATGTGGACCAAGCTTTCATGGAGGCCAATTATCTTGGCTATCATAGCAATCTTCAAAATCCAAATTTGAACCTAAGGGCTATTCAGTTCCGACAAAGCTTGAAATATTTCTTTTTTAATCTAGAATCACAAGTTTGAAAACAAACTCAAAGCCTTGCATCATTTTTTTCTTCCTTATTTTTTCCAAGTCTGCCATTCGAACACATTTAATACTCTTGCATCTTACAAAACATTACCTGTAAATGTCATGGCATCTTACAAAACATTACCTGTAAATGTCATCAGCTGTAAATATAAAATCAAAGTAGCAAACAAACACACAATCTCTGAAATCCACTGATAGTTGTCTATGAATCTAACAACTGATTGAGCAGTAAAATGAATGATTTGGTGGCCATCTTGAAAAGGAATCAAACATCGAATCTTTTCCAAACATCTTCTCTGTTGATTAAATTCTCATTCCATCCAAACTGGAACAACTTTGTTCTTTTTCTGTCAGTTTTCAGTCATAATGATTAGACTATACATATAGTAATGAATTTTGATGTACAGACCATATAGTCATTTGATCCTTTTTTTTTGAATATGTCCAACCACATATTTTGGATTGATCTTTTGGTCACTGGTAATTCAGGACCTAGTACATCTATAATCAAAATACTTTTGGTATACAAAAGTTATAAGATACTTTTAAGCTGAACACTTTTTTGTGTGGAAAACATCATTGCTTGAGATGGCTTCTGGCTGTTGATTTGTCTGGATATATCTGAAAACTAACCAAAGTAAGGTATTTTTATATGTATATTGTAATATGTGATCCGTAGTTTCGGTTGCATCATAAATTATCCTTCAGTGCATTGATAGTTTGAAAATATTCGTCTTTTTTGAAACAAACTCTAGCTTTTTGAGAATTTCAGTCTTATGCTTTTACGAAAAAGTACTCATTTGAATGTGTTTTTTTTATAAGGTTTAGGTCTTCACTCAACAAAGAAAACTGAAATAAAAAGGGGCAATTTTTGTACGGTATGGTCTGTGCATGTGTCTTAACATGAACCTATTGGATTACACCTCTGATTGCTATTTAACGTCATGAAGGAAAAGGTACTGAATTTTTATCAATCGATGTCGTTGTTTTGCAGGGGGACAGAGGGGCGGATTTCTGCACAGTTGAAAATGTTAAAAAAGGGCGAAATATCAAGACAAGAAAACAAAATCTTTGAACCTTAATTCTCAAAGCGGAAGCACAACTGCCTCTTGTTGAGAAAGCAGAAGATGCTAAATTTTTCGGAGAATCTGGTCTCGTTCTCCTAGGGTATTAAATACCTAATTATCTGTTATTGAGTTCACATTCTCCCTTTCTTTATTTGTTTTAAGTTCTAACTACAATTTGGTTGACAATGGTTTCTTTAATGAGCAAATATGAAAGACCCTAAATAGTGCGATAAGGCTGAATTTAATGATTATCAATAAACTTAATACTTTGATGGTCTAAGGTTGCAACATACCAAAGTCTATAAAATTGGACAGTCTGCTAACAGATGTATTGTCAGATAATGTGGCATTTCTGAATTACTGTTTTTTGCAGTTTTTCGTGCGTATTGGCAAATTATATGAACCTACCTTACTCAATTAAATTCATAACTATCCTCATATGACACCCGATTTTGATGGGACAATGAGCTTAAAGTATGCAATATCAGAATAGTCCGTTCAATTTTGTTTCCATCAACTTTATAGTGATTTCAAACGCACGTTTAACAAATAACAATATTCGACCTGTATTAAGTTCGATTAATTGCTATCAAAGATGTATAAATAAATTACATTACTCGTCTTTCAATGACTCAAGGGTGAAATATATTAAAACCTTCAAACAGCTTATTCCAAGAACTATTTGCACTAGTGCCATACAATCCAAATAGTATGTAGCTAGAATGCAGGCCTATCAATTGTTTTAATACATTACTTTTACTCGTATTCAAAATAACAGGTTTAAGTAAAGTGTCATGACTTTGAAAGTAGATAGTATAAATAAATGGTTATCATGGCTGTTCTAAAGTTCAAGCTTATGGTTCAAGGAACAAATACCTACCTTTGTTATTATGTATTTCAGGTGGACCTGATTGTTCTCCATCTTCCTGTGCAGCACCCAAAACATGCCAGTGGACATGTAAAAGTAAGTTAATCCTAATAACTAAATTATATGATGCTTACCATACTTTGTTTTAATTTGGATACTTTGATAATGGGAATTTAACACGATAGAATGCAGTTTTGAGTTTGCAATCAATACGATTTATGTATTTTCTCCTGAACAAACGTATCATTCAAGTGTTTCTGATTTTTGGTAAAATATGCCTGTAACAAAATGCATCGTACAAATATATTACATTCATTTGAAAGGCTGAACTGCAGTTTGTTTTATCATTGTTTTTATCATGTTTTCTATGAAACTTGAACACTAAAACTATTTCATTATTTTCTCAGAATCCGGAAATGAGATTAGTGGAGGTACGTATTACAGCTACTATAGTATCAAAAATAACATCCTGCATGATTTTGAAAACTCTAGTAAAATGATTTCAGTAATTGAAATGAAAAACTGTCACGCTTGTTTAGCTTTTAAGTACTCCTGGCTCAGTGCATTATGAAGTTTCGTTTTGGATATAACTGTAGCTCATTTGAACCAATAATGATACATGACAAATCAGTCAGAGGTCCAGGTTCGAAACTCAGTCTAGCCTAGATGAGTTGTTTACACTCAGGACACTGTTTGTTTATATTTTGCTATTCACTTATCAAAGCTATCGTCCTGCATGGTAGTTACAGATTTAAGCATCGGTGTGGGGATCCTTAAGCATATTTCTGGAAATATTGAACCCAGAAATGTATTTTTTATATAGACCTAATTTGAATAACATCAACATGGAAATATTTAATTTGATAAATTTGGCGTTCATCTGAACGTCAAGAGATGATGTCACAATAAAATGTATAAAAATGACGCCAACATTTTAAAGAAACACAATAGTGTTTATAATTAGCACAATATAAATAATGTATTGTTATATTAAGTATGTTGTTGAATTTATTGGTTACATCATCCAGATAGATAGGTAAAATTAACAACTTTCCCAACAACATGTACATAGTAAAGTGTATTTGATATTATTATTGTAGTTTTCTGGTGTTTGTAAATTGTATACGGCATTAAAATCGTTCTAACGATTTGTTTCAGCTACAGTAACCACTTGCACAAATGCCGACGATACTTGTGGAAATGTAACAGTAACAGACGGGCAATGCAAACCTGCATGTAAGTTAGGTTTTGTTTTCAGTTACAACGCATAGAAACAAATGTTATTATCATACACTTGTATAAATCATATGAAACAGTTGTATCCACTTGCAGTATATCCCTTTCCTCTCATTGCATTAGCTTATTGTGATGAAACCGATAACTTGCTTTGCATCAACAGCATCCTGATTGCTGTAAGCTTCATTTCATAATGCACAGTTTCACGATATAATAACAAGGCACATGTTAGTTGAATTATATTCCTTAACAATTTGCTTATTTGAGTTAACAATATATGCACTTGCAGCATTTAAGCTATCCATCGTCAACGTTATCTTTGTCGTTGAAAAAACCCAATGGAATGAGTTTGTCTACATACAAAAGAGGTTAACGCGAAGCGGTACATAATATGCCCGTCACATGTTTAATGAGTAGTTATTTGCATCATATGAACTATTTCGGAGTAATGGACGTTAAAGGAAAACTTATTCAACATAGATAATGAATCAATGAGCGCAATACAACATTTTGGAATGCATGTAGTACTGTATTAATGAAACAACGGGTAATAAGTCAATTTTGGTAAGATAAGATAAATGTGATTATATTCACACCACTGATTCAGGGGGCATAACTCCGTAAGTTATTGTCGGATAACGGTAGTAATCCTCTGAGCTTACATGGCAATTACATATTCTATGAGTTTGAAGTTAATACGTTAACAATACTTGATATATCGAGCGGACACTGTTTCAGCAACTGACTTAAGGGACATAACTCAGTAAATTATGTCGGAAATTAAAGTTATGACACTTAGCTGAGCTTTCAAGTTAATTAATCTTACTATGAAGTTTGAGGTTAATCTATAGAACATTACCCGAGATATCGGGCGGACACGGTTTTAGCAATTGTTTTAAAGGACAAAACGGAGTTCATACAGTTGTGTGACCGCACAACGCACCAAAAATAGCGTGCGCACACCGTGCATACATCGTTCACACACCGTCCGCACATGGTGCGCACAACTGTGCGATTTAACAATCGTTCGCCCCGTTGTTCGCTTCTCTTCGCCCAACTGTGCGATTAGGTTCAATTTTGTTGATCAATATTACGAAATGAAATAAATACGGAAGGCTCGTATGCAATAATGTAGATGTACACTGTATATATTACTGTGATTTCCCATCACAATAATTAATAATTAAGATTATGTACAAGTTTACAGGTCGTGTTACACAGTATTACAGTGACCGTTAGACTGTCAAGAATGGGTTTGGCTCTTAGGTAACAGAACAGGTATATAACATTTTGATGAGTGACCGGAGTTTTACCTGTCCTGTGCCTGACACATATAGCTGATGTGTGAAACCGTATGACCGTTATGAAAACACAACTGGCCAATTAGTATTTGTTATTTGTATTCGGTTTGGTTTATAGATCCCCTTCACCTGGATTTTCACACCCCGATGTCGATTAAGGTCGTTCGAAAAACACCGAAAACACCATTTCTAAATTCAGGAAAGTATAGAGAGAAAATTTAAAGATAAGCTTATAGATGCAGCTAGTATATCAATAGCACATACTTAAAAATCAAGTTTATAAGTTTAAACACGACACTGTATATATTGGTAAGGCATTCCTCAATTTACACCAACCACGATTGTTTTCGCATAACGTTCGTCCATCTTGCGCACAAATGTGCGCAAGTAATGATCGTCCAAGTTTTCATCGTTCGCACATCGTGCACACATCGTTCACACACCGTGCACATACCGTGCGCCCTCCGCACATCGTGTAACGTTGTGCGATCCCACAACTGTAACAATTGAAAAATGGTTGTTATCGAACTTTGCCGAGCTCCTATGGTAATTAATCTTACCATGAAGCTTACAGTTTATGTATTGAACATTAATTACCCGTGATATCAAGCGGATCGCATTGAGCAATTTATGAAAGGGGTATAACGCGGTAAATGATGGTCGGATTATAGTGGATATCTAACCTCTCCGAACCGCTATGGTAATTAACGTCCCTATAGAGTTTGAATTAAATTCGTTTAAAATTGCTCGAAATATTAAGCGGACACTGTTTCATCAATTTATTAAAGGAACATATCTCAGTCGAATAATGGTGGTTATCGACCGTGTCCGATCGTTCATGGTAATTAATCTTCCCATGAATTTTGAATTTAATCCGTTGAAAATTACTCGAGATATCCCCAACCCATTCACGAAATAACATAATTCGTCCCTACGTCTTTGGACGGGCGTATAACAAACACAGACATCGCACACATGTGCATGTATCGAACAATTAAATGTGACATGCACTTAATGCCAAGGTTTTTTTTCAACTGAAACGTTGTTTAATTTAGATATGCATATATACCAAAACAAATTATCTACTAGCAGATTTGGAGCATATTTTGATATTCTAACATCATACAGAAGCATTTAGATTACACATAAAACATATATCAATCATTCAAAATCTACAAATTAAATATTTTTTGGGCGTCGGCTTACATTCATGTAAAATGTCAGCCATTTGACGATCATATGTCATACAAATTTGAACTACTCTCCGTTTCTTTTCTATTTTTCTGTTTTTAAACTGATTATTTTCAGAAAGATGAATTATTCATTAACATCGAAAACAGCAAAATATCTCTAATCACTTTCATTTTCAAGAAAGGTCCTACCATAAGTGTGCGCCATTTGCAAATATTCTGTTAAATAACAGCGAAATCTTGAGTAGTTGCAAGATAGAAGTATTTCCGAGGAATGAGTTTAGTTGAAAAACATGATTAAACTGCCAAAGACATTTTCAAAAGTGTAATGTCACAAACATTGAATTTCCATTTTCATATGAAATATCAATGAAAAGAGCCTATGAATACTAACTGTAACAAGCTTCTGGTGGGATACGATTAACTTAAGGAGGTGTTGCAAGGCACTCGACTGTATAATGTCTAGCATACTTTTTTTGTTTATTACTAAATACACTTCAAACCAATGTTTAATCCTCAAAATGAACAAGTTTTTTACCTCTACGCCCTCAATCGTGATTTCAGGATGTCCAGGGCAAAGATTCACCAACGTATGTCTCTTTACATTGTACCTCTTGTCTGACTATGTTAAGAACCAGATTACATTTCTTTAATGGCTTTAATGTAATGAGCCTACGTTGCTCAATCTCATTCCACACTATCCTCTTATGATTCCAATTTTGTTTGGACGGTGGGCTTACAGTATGCGATAACGGAATACCTTTTCGCTTTCAATTTTGTTTCCTCTATGTTGTAATTATTTCTTTTCACACGGACGTTTAACAATTGAAAATGTTCGTCTCCAATTACAAAATAACAATTGGACCAATTAAAATCAATTTGGTACTGCTGTTTCAACTAATTTTGTCATCATATATCGTTGCTTATCAAGTCTAAATGTCATTTATGAATGTACCTCTATCTCTGATTTGCTGTCACTTGAGATATTTTCATAGTTTTTTGTTTCCAAAATGACTGAATCAATAGACTCAAAAGTTTCATGTAATGTTGCTTTAAAAGCCATCTGTTCAAAATAAAATATTTACATTTGTATGGCAATGTCACTATATAGCCTCTTTGAAAGCTGTGTCGTTGATGGGACTTTAATTACTATGCATCACGAGACACAATTCTTAGCGTATTAAAACAACACTGACCGGAACTACAATATCCAATATAAATAAACATGACGGCTGCTGAAATATCGCTGGGCATTGTGAGATTTAACAATGTCATTGTAACTTTATGTTCAAAATAAAAAATAAAATAAACACTTTTATTACAACGAAAACAAGACCAAGGTCTGCAATATCGTTCAAAATGCACATCGGTTGAAATCACCAATGCCGGCAATGGAAACAATTTTACGCTCATGTAATTTATCAGAAATATCATCTGTTACACTGCACTGATCAACAGGGGTTCGTTACAAACGTCTGAAATACACATATTCTATAGACCTACTGACACATATGTTACAGACCCACTGATATAAGTCGCAGCACACATAAACATTTCAGACATTTGTAACGAACCTGTGCTCCGTCGCCAGATCACTCACTTCAAACTCTATCAGTTTCACGCGTCTTGCATCCACGGTTCCTCAGTTTCTGACGACATGTCAAATACCGAGGATGTTATAGAGTCTACCGACTGTTGTCAGATTCCCATACAATCAACAAATACATTCACGCCTGGATTCTTCACAAAATGAGCAAAGAGAAAAGTTCGAATTAACTTCCAAAATTAACTCCGTCGTGGAGGGCAAGGTCGGATGTACGGTGTTCATTGTATTTGTCCATGCGCGAAATTTGTTCAAGGGAAAAATCGAAACAATTTCAAATCTAACTTTCAGCTCAGAGTTCAATTGATAAACTTAAATCACCCTATAGACATATCATACACAATTGTATTGATACTGAATTGTGGAATGAAATTGAAGTGTTTGTTAAAATTTCAAAGTAATACTCTGTTTGCCAATCAGCACGCGACATTACGCTGTTCAAACTATTGAACGAAATTGTGTGGACTGTCGATAAGGCGGGCATTTTTGATTTTAAATATAAATTATAAGTTAAAAAAGAACATAAGAGGCAGAGAAAACGTAAATATAGCGCGCATTATGTTGTTCGCTTGCAAAGCTTTGTCATTCAAATAGATCATAAATACCATACAAAAACAGGTCAATGCTTAAATATGGTCAGAAGGGGCCACATTTTAAACACATATTCTATTGGGCTCATGTTGTTCAAATATGTGAAGTGACAATGGCAAAATCAAACTCTTCATGTCGTTCCTATAAATGGCGTTGAACTTCAAGTTAGTGGGGCCAATACGTTAAAAGTATCAAACAACTTGTTATCAACTACCATAATTCTAGGAACATGTTTGTTTGAGCAGAAAGGGGTGGCATTTGTTTAAAGGAATGACATCTTTCAAGAACACAAGGGTCAAATATGTTAAAATGTTCAAACATCTTCTTTCAAAGAACCATACCTCATTGGAGCATACTATTGAAACAGTGTGAAGGTAGGATGCAAGACTGTTACATATTTTGAACAAGTTTCTAATCAAGATTTAACATACAGCGTAATAATTAAGGCAGTAATTAATATGAAAGAAGGACTTTCATGGTTGTTCAAATAAGGACCTTTGAGTGTATTTGAAATTTCATATTCTATCACTTGATAAAACTGATATGAACTTTGGTTATCCTCAAGCGATTACATGCTATAAACTGTGCATGTATACCATGCCAAAAATATGTTTGTCATTTAATCTTATGTATGCGATTTTGCAGTGAATACATGATTAATTTCATTTCCCTGCAACATACATTACCCTGTCTTTGTTGGGGCCTGATGACTACTGGTTTATGTTGTTAGGATGATTGAGTGTTAAAATAGTGTATCTTCATGCATAATGTCTGCAACAAAAATATAGTTTATGATGTTATTTGTAATTCATTATAAATATATTCATGGTGAATATTATTGTTATAAATCACAATAGTGTGTCATGGAGTTTTTATGCGTGAAATACATGCAGCAAATCGAATATGCGTACTGTTTAGCAGATTTTAAGACACATTTCTGAAATAAGAAAAACAATTTCGCAAAGGATTAAATATGTCTATATTGATGCATTTTAAAGAAAATAACCATACTTGGTTGTTGACTTCCAAGCCAAATATTCGTTTATGATCAGATAACAGAAGTGATTGAGTTCTTTTAAAACTTTGTTATTTGATTAAAAAGGGGGCTGGCAGAAAAAAAACTATAAAGTGGGCATATCAAGGAAATTATAAGCATACATAATCTTCTTTTTCATTTGAAGCGAACACAATATTCTGTTTATGGCACACCCATGATTTTTAATAAAAGTTGGAAGGAGGCTTTGTCTGCAGTGTGTCGATGTTTTCTTATCTTTAATCTAAGGCAAGTGTGGGACTGCAACCTGTTCTGCAACTCAGTCGTGTGATTGGAACTGTACACGTAAGTTTACTTTATTGCAACTATAGCATGTTTATAACTTGGTAATACAATTTGATTTGAGTTTAATTGATGCACAAAGACAACGTTCATACTATAATTGCATTTATTTCAATGAGAACAATAATGTTTTCTATGCTATTTCTATGGTCGATCACAAATAGAAATAAGATTTTTTACAATTACCTCACAACTGTATATATTAATCTGGAAATTGGACACTGTACTTTATATTTACCAAACTACAAATAGTAAATTTGCATTTGAATATGAAAATATCGCATCTAGACAATGCACCCACTCTAACCAAATATTGGCTGATATGTAAATATTCAAAAGTAAAATATGTATTTATTTATTTATTGTTTAAATGGTTTAGTGCATCTGAAATGTTTGTTTAAGGGAATTGAAGTGGTTGTATTTTTTCCTGTTGGCTGTAGTTGGGCAATTGAAAATATTCTATCACTAGTGCCAAGAATTGCATGTATTATGCATATGGTTTTTACTTTCTATTACAATCATTCGCTTTTCCTCGACGTTAATGCTGCGCGATAATCTGCCTTGGTGTACTGGCGAGACACTGAATTATCACACTACCAAGAGCAGTCCCAGAGGCATACTATTACCCAGAGAACAGTTTCTTGGTTAAAGGAATAACAAGAAATCACAGCCACTTAGATCACTTTAATCATTTGGTCAGAATGTGATGAGTACTACCCTCAGAAATGCCAACCATATGAGATATCTCAGAAACAGCAAAAAGACCATCGTCCTTAATTGTTTGCTTTTACAGTAGCAATGCTCTTATTTGATGCTGTAACAACTGGCCTGCATGGCCGTGTGTCCTCTTTGATGTCAACTTAACCATTCTTGAATTTGTTCATCCTTCTAAAAACAGTTCTAAATGTTTGGGCGGGAAAACCTTTTATGCTGCAAAGCTATGCATGTATCTGTATTGACGGTATCTGTAAAGCCACCCGTGCTTATAGGAACGCATCTTAGCATTCCCAAGAGGTCTCGAGGGTAAACCTGTCTACAATGAATAACTTATTCAATTATTGTCGGATTATGTCGTAATTGTGCACGTAGATTGTTCATTAAATATTGTTGCAGTATGCAAAGGCGCGAATTTTTGTATTGCCCGTTCGTATAAATTAATATTTTGCTGTATGTATTGAATGAACCTCGTTGAATGAACCTCGTTTTAGCCGCACGTGTGACTAAGGAAGGGAATTTTAAAACAATCAATTATTACATGTAGCACGAATTATAATCGATTCTCCTTCATGTAACGGTACGATCCGGATGGAATGTTACGCATAACTTTTATATGGGGAGGTTTTTTTCACGTTTACAGGATTTATCGTTCTTTAATGATGTGCAAATTAACAAGTTTTACAATTTTTCTTCTTCACGTAACATAATATATAATGAATTTCAGTAACATATGCTGTCCTATAAATCAATATATATATGGTGTAGACAAATTAATATAAAATTAGTATCTCTAAAATATTTGATTATAAAATATTAAAGTCATATGTTTTTATTTAGAACATATTTAAGATATCCACTATTATACACATTGTTACCTCATGTAATATATCTTTCAGATGGTGGAAATGTCATTCCTAATGGTAAGTAATAATAAAATGTATTCGAAAAATGTTATACGACATCAGTAGCCACCTAGAATTTTATACAATTATACTTTTTCTTGTATACACATCTTATGCTAGTTTTCGCGTTAATGCTCTAACGCTACAGAAATTATTTTCATATAAACGTATCCTAAAGAGTATAAAGTCATTGCAATTTTTTGAATAATAACACTGACCAATACAAATTATTTTATCGAAATTGAAGAATTATACCTTCAATTTGTACAATTATTATGAGGTTGTTAATTTCATTTTAGCTGACGTAACTAGTTGTTCAGCTTCAGCTAAGACCTGCAACTCAACAGGAACATGTGTAGCTGCCTGTCTGCGAAAACCAAGTACGAAGTCATTTGATTTTGTTTCAAATGTTTATTTAGGAGTCAAAATATGTTTGAATACAGATATACATTTGGGAAAAGTATTATGTATGGAACTAAGTCATACTTTTATATTTTATTTTGGGAAAGCTTGCCTTCACATTTTCTTTTTCTTTAAAAATAGCTCATCAACCTTCGATAATTCAAATCCCAATTCCAACTACTGATAAGCACACGGAAATGCCTCGTAAGTATTGTATTCCAAAATGAAAATTTTGCATGAATTCCTTCTTACCATGCCATAAAACATACCTGAAACACTATGATCACATCTGCTACCAATCAAAATATTAGAATGCCAAAAATCCGATATTGCTGCCATGATGTCTAACGTCACACATTTACAACGTTAATAACTCAAACAAATATTCATCATACAACATTATATCATTTGTAGATATTTCTCCGGGCTTACCAATTTCATAACATTTTATTAGAAACAAATTAAAATAAAAATCCCTTCTGTCGGGTCAAAAGTCACCATTTTTAAAACCTTTTTCATTTGTCGTATTTTTATATTCATTTTTATAATCTATAGGGACCTCCATTTCGATGAATTTGATGTCTTTGTTGTTTCTATTGCGTTTACCGTAAACGTCCAATGCAATTTTGAACATTTCCTTAGATCTACTTGAGAAGCAATATATATTTATTAAAACCGTTTAATGGTTATGTTTTGGTGAGCAGGTCTCGACCAAATTTTATGCTTACCAGGGCTACCTACCAAATTATTTATAAATTTTCACTTGGTCCATAATCCAAGATGCCTGACATAACGTTATATTTGTTTTTTTTCTTCATAATTGCGATAATTTATTAACGACTACATCTTTGGATATGTAATGTTAAGTGAAAATGCAGAAACAAAAAATCAGAAACATGTTTGTGTCAAAAGTCAACTTACCTTTTCGGTAAGGGTCAAAATTCAAATATGTTTTTTTTGGCTACCAAACTTAAAAATAAATATCCTCAAGTTTTGCGAGGTCTAGGGGTTTGATATTTGGTCTCTAACACATTGAGGTGATTGGCAATCGGATTTGTGAAAATGAATGACCTCAACCTTCTTTTAAGATCACAAGGCCAAATGTGTAAAAGAAATAAATTTCTTTAGATACAAATATTTGGAAAACAACAATTTAAGAAATTAGCTTCATAGTCTGGTATGACGTAGAGGACACCAATGCGGATATTTCTGCGAGGAACTATTTTAATGTTAGAGTTGAATTTTTGGTTGTCAGTAGTGCTCCAATTTCAAATGTACAATTTCAAGGTAACATATATGACAAAAAAAATTTCAAGTTCCCTATATTTGATCTGTCAAAGGTGTACATACTACGTTGAATAGCTACCACATTTGTTTAAAGGAATGACCTAGTTTCTCTTTCAATGGTTTATATTTATTGTTTAACGTCCTATTAACAGCTAAGGTCATTTAAGAAATGTGCCTCCATGTGTCTAGTGTAAGCGTGCCGGAGACCGGGTATGTTGGTGTACATGCCTCCTTGTGATAACGTGGAATTGATGCCAACGTTAAAGTTCTATTTCACTAAAATACCATGCCGAAAGCACTAAGCACAGTATTCCGCCCGGTCACATTATACCGACAACTGATCAACCAGTTGTTGCCATTACCCTAAATGCTGAATGCTACCATTTTTAAGAACTTCGGTATGTTCTGGCCTGTGCCGTACAGAACCCGAAGTCCTTTCAGGTAACTCTGTATGAGTGGGTTATCTTGTGGTGTAGTTGTCACTAACGGTGTATCTTTTATTAAAATGTGCCCTCACTTAAACACCTTATAGCGGCTTTTATTTCCAGTGTTTATACAATTGTAAGCTCAAATATAACAAAGCGGGATATGAAGAAATTGACTGCCCCTTATGTAAATATTTTGTAAAATACTATCCCCTGGTTACAGTTTCATGTAGGTGTCATGTTTATGCGTGGCAACATTCAGCTTGTTTTTAGATTGTATGTCTTTCTAGTGCTGGTAAAAGATAAACTGAACACTTTCGTGTTCAATAAGATGCTGATTGAAGCATACATAATTTATTATACTCAAAATATTTCAAAATTAACTGTGGATTGCTTCACAAAGATTATTTTACAATTGTAAATCAAAAAGGTTACATAATATGTACTACATTATATATATTCTACGATTTACTCCGTCTCAAACGGAGTATAACACTTGATTGGTAGAACTGCAGGTAATTTTGAAGCCTCTTGATTCCTTGTTTGATGATATATACATTCTACGTAATAAGGCCAGTCAAATGTCCCCATGCTTCCTGGACTTGATAGAATAAAAAGATATTCCTTGTGTAATGTTCAATTGTCAAAAAGCTAATAAAATGTCAGTATTGTTTCCTTTAGCCAAGGCAGACCATTTGATAACTGCTTTATTAATGAGATAAACAATTCATTCAATATTACATATGCGACGGATATTATATCACTGTCATCGTTATAAAGAAATGGCATCTAATTATTTATTGTAGTTTGAATCGAGTTTTGTTCATAAAATCTCCTCCTGATGTAATTTTTTCGAGAGCTTGTTTGAAGCAGAAGACCAACATGAATGTTATAATTTCTACTGATACACATATTTCTCATTCAGGTAGCGGTTTCATCAAACATGGATTGTCTCCCCTAGTTCTGATGTGTGGGATTCTAGCCAAGCTGTATCTGAGTCTGTGATTAGTGTATTTCCAACACGAAATGCGTCATCCTGATACGGATACGAAAAGCGTCGCCATTGAACACAATGACGGATGACATCTTGATTTTTTACAACCTGATGTGATGAAACTGAAAGAAAAAAAAATGTATTCTTTATTGACTATGCCTGTAAGATTGATTTTAAATATAATCTAAAACGAAGACTAGACATTATTTTAAACTTTCAAAGTTTGAAATATGACGGTGCCTATAACTTTGAGCAATCCGTTCAATTTTATCTAAATAATCTGTCTCTCTGCCAGCAACGAAAATCAGCATTGTTTAAATCAAAATATTTAATCAAATTTACGATTTAAAACAGGATCGAAATGTTTTATCTCCAAAGAAATACAGGTTTAATCCTTTGTAAAAAAAACACCCGATGAAAACATCGTTTGTGAACACCATAGTCTTGGTGCTAGTATAATGTTTCATTATATGTTTTAAATGACTGATTGATAATAATTTAGACCAATTGAATAATATCAGACCTATGAAGAATTTCGCATGCATTGAATCATGTTACTGCAAGTAGATGAGCTGCGATTCAAAATCAATTATATGTATCAAATTTATTAACATTACTACCTTGAAATACTAATTTATTGTTAATGTGATGTTTATTTATTTAATTTTTAGATATCATTTACATATAAATATGCATTTGAAAAGACATTTATGTTTTTCTTTTCTTTCATCAGTCCTACGTAATATTCCATTAACACAATGGAATCATTTGAATTATGTGTTATACATATCTCTAACGTACAAATATCAGACACATTATACTTTGAATAAGACAAGACATCTAGTATTATGATTGTATAGTATTTGCGCAGCGCCCTTGCAGAAATAATATCGTGCTTAGGCGCTATACATCAAGCTAAAGACATTTCGCAGTTCATTAATTTTTTTTCAAAACCAACTCTGTTCATCACCCCATGAAATCGACCAAAGCAAGATTCAATCCTTAAATTTCAATCAACACTGGAATGTGAAGCTGCAGTTATTGAATGTCGAATTACACAGGTAACCAGACGTGGCTTGAAAGGACGAAACATTTAATATGAAATCTGGCTGATCGACAGTATTTCATATAAGACGCGACCACATGGATCTACCACAGGGGTTCGTTACAAATGTCTGAAATACACATATCATGCTATAACTGTTATGGATCACAGTAACATTTGTAACGAACACCTGTGAATCTACGTTTTCGGTTTGTACCGGAGGTTGCCTACTTTCACAAGGCAGAATGGGTAGCTGGAAGGAGAACGTTTAGGGCAGTACAAGACTTGTCACTACCGCTAGCAACCGTGAGCTGAAATATTTTGTTGATTGATCGTTTTTGGTTGTTACAACAATTTCTTGTGTTGCATCAATAAAAATGTGAAATCTCATCAAGTGGTATCTTTGTATAATTATATCAATAGTTTTCTCCCTTCGCAAAATCATACGCACAGGTAATGTTGAAACATGTTACATTTGGTAGTTGCATTGAGTCCATGTATAACCTTTTAAAAGTCAGTGCATTGTGGATTCTTCTAGGTTATTCCATAGTGAGGTACAAGTACATCTGTAAAACCGTTTGTTAAATGCATATCTGCATTTTGGGATGTATAAAAATGTAATTTATTTCAAGTAAAAGAAAGAATGGTTGAATTCCGGTTAACGTAAGTGAACAAATTTTCTTTAAAAAATCCTGGTGCCTCATCGTTGAGAATCTGTAGGTTAAGATACATTTTTAAAAGTATAAAAGTCATAAATAGGCATCCAGTTCAGACACTTTGAAAGTGCGGATGTTGGTGTAGAATAGCTTTAGCTTTTAAGATCACCCTTCACAGCTCTTTTTTGAAATTTCAAAAGTATTTCTGTCCTACGCAACTAGGCTATTCCAATTCACTGTATAACACATTTTAACAGTTTTAATTAAATTAACTTAATGTATAATCTATATATGTTTATAACTAAACATTCGAAGCGTGTATCAACAACAGTTAGTACCACGTATTGTATGTATCAATACTTGCTGAATTACTAAGGGATGAACAATCCGCCATCTTACAAAATCGGTCTGATCGTATCTATGTCAACTAAACAAAACACTTGAAGATCTTGTTTTTTTTTGGGGGGGGGGGGGGGGAAATAAAGCATTGGGATGTTTTATATCAGTGGACTGCAATCGAATATGGACTCGTTGCTATGTTAGCGATTTGTAGTGCTGTAGCGCTTCACGTTAAGATATGTCATTATCGTAAGCACACATAAGATATTTATATCCGTTATATCATACATGAAAATAAAAAAAAACACAAACAACGTTGTTAATCATTATTTTATGTCAGCTATACACTGCAGTAAATAGACTTGGTAAAGTTGTTTAAAAACAGAAGGACCATCACACCTTTATCATATTGAGCCGGGATCAATGTGCGTTATATTGTTTTTAATATTTAAAAAAGAACTATACATAATGACATAACAGTCTCAAAAGACTTTTAATAAGACAATCTCGGAATAAATCATGCACTCTTATTTTATACGTATTACACCCCTACAATAAACCATTACAGGTAAATCTTAGGATGTAATTGCATCATTTACCCCCTTGGTAATACCTTAGAAGAGCAATAGACAAGTTCCGATGCAAACTTTTAGTATAAAGCTGATCACCTACCTGAAAGATCACCGAGCAAAACCACTCACAATTCCTTAAATAAAACTTTACTATAGTACCTCCTTTTACAATAATAAGTCCGTGGTCCGACACTTACGAAAAGCGATCCGGTGTACCAGAACAACATTTTCCAAATTTAGGAATCAAATTACAGACAGAATCCAGACCAAAAAGTAAGGTACTGACTACCAACATATCCGTTAGGGGGAACAAACAGTCTTTCAATTAATTACCCTCAGGGAGTCGCTTCACAAGCACGAACATGGCAATTAGATTTGAAGTATTCAACTTCGCTCCCCCAAGCCGTACACATCTACGATACCACCTTATCAACTCCCGATACCAAGAGAGCTACTGTGCATGCTGATATGGTTGAACAATACTATACGCATGCCCTTAAATAGGTTATGTATATGCTTTAAAATTAACTGTGTCTACCCGACATCAACACATCATATTGGATGCGAGGAAGTCATGATATAGTTATGCTTTCCTTTTATATTCTCCCATACTACTTATATCTTTAATTTTTAGTGTAGATACTTAAGATCTGCATTTTTTCCATATACAATGTATGTACTCAAATGCATTACTTTGAATTATACCGCAATACTATTTACTCTGGATCCTGTACAGTGTTCAGTTGAAGACCTAAACGTAACACAAGGACTGTGCGGTCTTCAATCTGATATTATAGGTTGTATACTACATGTATATGCGGTCTATAACCAATATATATACATATAGATATTACCTACATTGTATATTGCAGACTAAATCTAACTAATACACTATTCTATGGAAGTTATATTCCCCTTCCCCCACCCACACCAAATTTTGTATGATAATCTCTTAATAGTGTAAATATCTAATTAGATTTAAGTACTTAAGAAATATAATCAGGATTTAAAAGAAATATAATCAGAATTTTAAGCAATTCATTTGTGATCATATCATTTTATATAACTTTCTATGTACCTTATTTACCTGAAATTTTTCTCTATACCAAAATGTGCAGACAATAATTACCAAATATAATGGATACACAATTATATTACTACAAAATAGAATGTATGTTGATTAAATTTTATATGTACCAGAAATTAAATCATCGGGCCAATTCGTAAATATTCATACTGTATCCGTTACTAAATAGTTATGTATATATCATATTATTTAACATCAGATGCATGAGGTCTTAGAAATGAACAGTACTGTACATTAATTTTTGTAGTGACTTATTGTCTAAAAATAGAGAAAAAAAGGTTCTAACGCCAAATATGTTACTTGTTTACAATGATTAATTTTTGACAGTAAGCAAAATCTTATTATTATAATATAAATCCATTATGTCCATATACGTGAATCTACCATCATTGGAGAGGACTTATATAGGCTCTAAGCCTGTTGTCCAATCCTTTTGACAGTGTAACATTCTTCTATGTCAATAAAATATGTTGAAATGAAAAATGCGAGGAAGTTGATTATTTACATTGACAATGCTCGATACTGTGTCTCAGATTAAATCCTGCGAAACAAACATCAATTTAAAAAAAAAGGATTTTATCGCCGTACATACATGTACACTTCTGCTCAATTGCGGAACAACAGTAATTTTGTTTGACTGTCAACATAAAGTTCCGTTCCTCCTACGAAAAGAAAACCTCAGAAGTAGAAATAAAGACAAAGCATTTAACAGTAACATTTGTCAAATATAAATCGTTACCTAAGAAATAAGCACACCCAAACTGGATGTCTACAAATTACAGAAAATGTCCTTATGGGTTGATGAGTGTGTAAATGGTAGCGTAAAGAACCAATTTTTCAGCAGTTCGTTTGTGTGATTTAAAACTTGCTCTATGTTGCACGTCAAACTCTACCTAACGACTGCTCGACAATTAACATACACATGCGCATAAAGGGAACACACATCAAATCCGGACAAACCAGTTTGGTAACCGCCCATTGAACCCACAAGTCCTTCCAGAAAATGCAGATATATTTCCCAGGCAACATCATTGTACATATGCTAGGTCTTCCTCACACTGTATACACGATTTATCTATTTTGTTCAAATCATATATTATTAGCATTAACCTGGCTAGCTTAATTACTATTTGGTTTTCTAGAAAAACCTAGAGAGAGGTATAAAAGCGTAATGTTTTTGATTGCGAATTGACCTGACACACTATTAATAGTTTTGAAAAACGCAATCAATCAAAACTTTATGTAAAAACATTATGAAGCTTGCACATGTTGATGATTTTTCTGACGTTACAACATGTCATACATCATATAATAAAAAAAGATAAGTGAACGGTGTACAAGCTTGATTATGTACATTTTATTCAATTACCGTTTATGATATTTAACAAGTCCAGCTCTACAAAGTCATATGCATAACAAATGCTGTTGGCAGAACGGTTTGTAGTTTTAATTTATAAAACATATCTAATGGTTCTTAACGACAATAATAACATGAAAAAAATCAAAATTGTTTCTCCTTCAATTTACCTTTTAAATAATTACTTTATTAATACTAAATATATTTCCTAAGCCAGGTGTAACAAACTAACTCGTTTTCAATTAATCAAAACAAAGATTTATTACTTTTTTTGCAATATAATTCCCGCTACATCCGTCATTAAGCTCACAGTTACCTTTCAATAGTATGCCTTTCCTAGATAAACGTGATTATATTAGATTGCACATGAATGATAAAAACGAGTCTAAATTATGTTTTTATGTCAGCTTCAAAAAATTGTATAAATATATAAGAGACAGATCCGTATATATTCTAATGTGCTTTCCACTTCCAAATAGCACCGGTGTTTTTTGTTTTTGTTTTTAATTTTTATTTTATACCTCATCAGGTTAACAATTATTTTAAACGATAGTACGGAACTGTAATTTCGCACAATATGACTCGTGTATGTCTAGCATATGAAATGTAACAGGACGAAACGTGTAGCAGCATAGTATCTTTCAACATTGATTATAACAATATAAAGACAAGCACTTACATTGTGATAGGAGTATTATAAAGTTTTATTAAGACACGGTCTACCCGAGCTGTTTGTTGGGGGTTGTTCTAAATGACACAGGCGCAGTTGATCGTGTTACTAAGGCAATATGTAAATAAACCTGCTATATAAACGGATATGGTAACAACGCAGTGTAGCAGTTGCGGGTACAGATCCAGCAAATAAGTAGGTAAAGCTATTTTGTAATATTATTTGATAGAAACGAATGTCATTTTAAAGACATTATTTTGTTCATGATTTTCGAATATATATATATACAAGAACATAAGAGATTTCATATCATTATTATTACAATGTTATAATATAGCTAAGGTTTGGTTCAGAAAAGAAACTAAGTTTGTTCAAGATGACAATGTAATTAAATATTACGTTTATTGAATTCAACTTTATATCTTGCAGGCAAATATGAAGGGTATTTTCATTTTCGTTTGTTCAACCCTGATATCCGTTACATGTGAGTACACATACATTTGAATTTAGTATTTTATATAAAAAAAAGTTTTTATCTATTTTTGCTAGATTCTGTCATAGGTAGAAATTGTATATTATGTCTATATTGGAAATCTTACTAGAGTGTATTCTGTTCAACACTCAAAAACGATAACAAAAAGGTTTTGGGGATATCTGAGATTATTAAATGAAAGTTGAGCTTAGCTATCTACCTAAAAATAAGTAAAAAGTACATGCAACATAATTATTTTACTGAAACATTTATAACAAAGAACAAATATAGGTCGAAACTGTTAAGTTATTCAAACTTAAACATTCCACTACTTTGAAGGTAGCAAACTCTAGTTTATCGATATTTCATTTTAAGTAACATTTAAAAAAACAAAAATACTGATAGGATTTTACAGATTTGAAACAAGGATGTAACGTGTGTTATTAATTAAGATTTGCCGCCAAATAAGATTTAAGCGGAATATAGAATAAAAGAAACTGATATTTCTAATTTAAAAGAAAAGAAAGTCCCCGATAAAATTACTTTTAGTTTGCAATAGTTACTTCTCACATGAGAGGTAAATAATTAAAAACTTTTTTTTTTTTTTTACAACAAAATGCAATATGATTGTTTCCATTATGAATGTGTGTAATGGAATTTTTTTCGTCAAAGTTTTTGCCTTTCGACGATTCATAAAGGATATATGGTATAAAACATTTTCAGTTATTGTTAGAGACAAAAGATACAACTTTAAACTCTAACACGCCCCTTTTTTTAAATGTAAGACAAATGATCTACACATATTGAGGTAATGAATATGTCAGATCATCATAGCCTGTATCAAATCCATAATCTTAATACTGATATAGCTAGGACATATGGAACGTTATATAAATCTCTAGGTTAACACTGTCGCATGATAACGTTGATTAAAGAGGGACATTTAAGAACTTCAAGCCCTAGGTGTAACCGAAATTGCAAACTCGAACTTCATATGATACCTATACTGTTACATTCCGAGGTTGTCTTACAAGTATTATATCGATAGTTGTGGTGGAAATATCCTTCCCTGTACATATATAATATAGCATTGCTATGTTCTTTAATTATTCGTGAAGTTAATTAGAATACCATGTTATGCCTTTATTAACTACTATACTTATAACTGTCACTGAAGGAATACTTTTTCTCATGTGTTGTAAAGCGCTTTGGAGTAATTTTAAAAATTATATAGAGCGCTTTATAAATGTGTTTATTTAGTATTGTCATTATTATAACAAATTATCTGTCTCTTAAAAAAAATAGCGCTAATGCTGATAGCGACTCTGGTTTAAAAATAATATGACGTGTAAGCAACTAAACACGTTACATATTTTTTCAGGTATACTATTTAGGAAATAGTAATTTATTATGGAATATGGAATTTCACTTTTAACCTCAAGTCTGATGGTCTTCGATAAAAGGGTTGTTAATTTGTAACGCATCATCAGACCTAGCCATTGGACATAACATAATCCCATGTTGTACGCTTGTTATCATGACTATAGGAAAAAGCCAATGCTTTTGAATAGCATAGGTATTTACCAACTATTGTTATCTCAGACCTTTGAGAGTTTTTAAGGGGGTGGGGGTGGAGCGTTGGGTGATGGGGAGTGTGCGTTCTTACTCAATAAAACACGCATATAACCCAAATTTGAAACAAAAAACACTAACTTTTACTTAAATGCGTTATTTCAGCAATGAGAGACATCCGTGAATTTTCCTTTTCTCTACATATATTTAGTACACTAGCACCTCACTCCAGCACTGAGCGACGAGACCCAGCCATATGAAATTCACTTTATTCTACAATTTGCTGCTTACTGCCTATCAATGGCACGATGCCCTAGATCATGATTACATTTTTGGATTTGTCATGTCACTTCACTCGGAGGAGGTATGATGTAATTTGCAAATTTTCTGAAATATCATCGGACGTTTCAAGACATGAGTTTAATTATGATATCCTCGATTCGACCATAGAAAGATTTATGTTTTATTAGTTAGTTCGCTAGTTATTTTTTCTTCTCTTTTAAATTCTGGTCCAAGCTATATCCCCTTGATCGCAAAGGAGATATCAGTGTAAATCAAAACTACCATCTTCTATTGATTTTCCAAGACATAACTTATTTAAGACAATATATATTGCTGGGACTTCAATGACAATGTACCAAAGAGTGTATGCTCCCTGTATATATGTTGTAAATCGCAATAGACATGCAAAGAAGTCGAGGATACTGAGATTTGGTAAAACACTTCCTATAAGATAATTGTTTTGTAAGACTTCTGGGCAAAGTAAACACAATATTGGGACGCACGTAGGACTGGACTATGGTACTCTAAATTTTAATTTTCATTTCCCATCTTACACTTGGTGCAAATTGCTATTAACAACGGGATTTAACGAATGCACGACATGTGGCAATTAAGGAAATGCTATGATAGCACAGAAAGTTTTTCATTCAGATAAATAAATATATCTTAGTATATTTGGGACAAAGGAAATACATGTTTTTTAATGTGTAGGCATTTTTTGGTATCAATCGGCAGCATTAAAGTAAATTATCGAAAGTCCTATATATCATGCAAGTGTGGCTGGAAATGTATGATGCTTATTTTGTGATAATTAATTACGCATTGGTTGCTTTTGTTGTGACTTAAGAGTTTTATATAAGAATTTTTTTTTCTTTTGTGTGTGGGGGGGGGGGGGGGGGAATAAGATGTAAAAGGAGTTTTCAATTGTATATTACTGTGTAATTTGAAGTAATTTGTAGTGAATAGCAACCACCAAAACACAGTATATTTTATGTGACTCTTCAGACTAAAGAAATAAACTTTTGAAATTTCAGACGGATCGAACTTTTGTGCATTGGGACAGGCAGAAAATGCAACATGTGAAAATAACGGCATATGTACTACGGCAATGTGTACAACACCACAAATAACAGCAGCAACAACAGTAGCAACAACAACAGTAACAACAACAGCAACACCAACAACAACAAAAAGTGAGTATTACTGTAAACATTCACGTAAGTTCTTAGCAGTAGGCATTTTCAATTTGATGTATGGACGTAAATGTAATATAAATATGTATTACATTTTTTCCAGTGAAATATTGGATTCTATCAACTTGATAAAACTGATATTTTTCACACTGTGATAAATATCAAAAGTGATATTTGCAGTGTGAAAATATCACTTTTTGGTATTGACCAATCATACCTGTATCTTCTATTCGCTGCATTCAAAGGCAACGATTTGTTATTAAGATACAAATGAAGCGACGGTAAAATGTTTGGTAAATGTTTGGTACTCACACTTAAGTATTTACATAAAAAACAATTTATAACATTTGTATAAGCAATCATACCAAAAAGCAGAACAGTCGGAATTGCGTTTGGTATCCCATTCAAAAAGGCGCGCAGCCTTGTTGTTAAGCGTGACGTCATTATAATATGGCGTTAATTCTTACACTTCTGATTCCCGCCCTTTTTTAATGAATTTGAGGTTTTTGAAGTAAAACCAATTTTCATGATGTAATACTTACCATAACTTTAGTATGCATATACAATACCTACACCCATCTTTGTAGCCCAAAAACAAAAGATTCAAATATCCCTACCTCCCTACCGTGACGTAACCTCTATCTCGATGACAGAGCCACGGAGTGATCTCCCTTCCTCAAACCCCCTTTTATGGAGCCTAAAGGCAGCCAGGATGAGGAGGCAAGGGGAGGAATACAGGGTGGGACTCCATAAAGTTATGGTAAGTATTACATCATGAAAATTGGTTTTACTTCAAAAACCTCAATTTCATTTCAGTAATAATTACCATAACTTTAGTATGCGAATTCGTCTTACCGTAGTGGAGGCTTCGAATCCAGGCAGACCAGGCTGACGGAACAAACTCGAGACATGCTCAAGGTAGGGAAAAGGTTCAAGGAACCCCCCTAATAAAGCCCCGAAAGTAATTAAAAAATGGAAAACCTCCCCGTGAAACGAGCAGGTGTACCACCGTGGTGCCTGATAGCATACTATTTAAAATCACTGAATTACTGTGGAGGAACAGCCACAGACTGTGCAACCACCACCGGTCCAAGGGAATACAATCCATCAGAATGAGAGGCCAAGGACCGGAGATAAAAATCCGTGAAGGTAGTCTGTCCGCGCCAGAAAGCTGCGGACATGACCTCCTGAAAGGGGGACCCATTGAGGAGGGCCCATGACGCAGCAAGGGCCCTGATCTCATG